CCATATTAGTCATCAATCATCCCTTTTAATCTGTTCCAAACAGACTCGGGAGCTTTCCTGGGATTTGTTTGGCTGTGCTGCACATAAGATATGCTCTGAGAATGAGCTCCCACAGCTGGTCCTGCATTATTTCACCATGAAGGCAACTTAGAGCTCAGTCCAGGTTATTTCAGTCCGATGTTCTTCCCACGGCCGCCTTCTCTCTAATCTGCGTGCAGAGCCCGGGCTGATCCTCGCCCTGAGCCCGCCCTTAGACTCCGCAGCGCGGGTGTGGAAGGGCAGGGGTCGGGAAGCTCGCTCTGCAGCCCTGATGTGCACAGCCCGGCCCGCAGCGTGTTGAGAAGTATGTCACGGCCGCCCCGCTGTGCTCCAGGGTCAGCTTCAGGTCCCCAGAATCTGCAGTTGGCCCACAGACAGGCAAGCACTGGGGAGTCTAGGCCCCGCTTTGGGCTTGGGAACACGTAGTAGGTTTTCTGCTCCAGCACTGCCATTTGAGAGCATTCTAGAGTCTGAGCATCTTTAAACATATTCATTAAGAAAACTTAGCGAATTCTATTTTCATATTGTTCTTGTAACAGAAAAAGAAAATGAGTTGGGAGGAAAATTGCACCCGGGAGGGCACATTCATTTCCAGCTTCTGTAGCCACCGCCGGCACCATCTGACAAGACTCCCGGCTTCCTTCCTGTTGTCAGTCGCTGCATATTTTATAGGGTGGTGTCTGGACTTGAGTGATGGTGGCTTACCTGGTATAAGCTGTTTCACCTCACACATGATTAAATTATATTTCTTCCTGTCTGAACAAAGATTATATTGAAAATCCAGGAAGGATTCGGCACCAGGGAAATACACGTTAGTGTTTGACAGTGTGGAGCGGGGCAGGGAAATATCAATACGCGATGAGGTCGTGGCAGACCTAGGACTAGGAGGAGGGAGTTATATGAATGTTAAGCGACACATGCCTAGCTAGTCTTTAGAAACCCCATTCAAATGGCCCTCCTAGCATTTAGTTTTCAATTGCGGGGTTCGTTTGGGCAAAACAAGCTGGCATCCGAGGAAATCAAGAAATCACATTCCTGGCAGGCTGCTGAATCAAAGATCTCATGTGCAACGGTAGCCATTCATACCTGAGCGGAAAAGGGACACGTGCTCCGACTGGCATTTTCTGTCTCGTCAACTATTAGAAATTAATGACATCTCAGGATGCGTAAGAAAATAGGATGTCAGCAAGAGGCAACATTAAAAACACTGAAAACGCACAAGGAAAAAGCATTGGAGACTTTTGGACACAGAAAGGGTGCAGGTCTGTCTTAGGGGGCCACACGCATGAATGTGAACTTGACTTTGGAAGCTGCACACAGGGAGAAACGCGCTGGTCTTGAGTGACTGTGTGGCGCGCCCCTCTGACTGCAGGGAAGCTGGTGGACATAACAAACCAGAGAAGCGCCCCTGGAACTTTTCAAGGATGTTGAATCCAGTTCCGCCCTGTGGGCAGAGGAACTCCCAGGTGCTAAGAAAAAACTACGCAGTGTTGATTCTATTTTAACTCTATTTTAGCTCTGCAGAGGGACACGCCAGGACACCACCCATATACTTTCTGAGCTTTTACTGGCCTCAGAGGATGTGTCCATACAAATGACTCCAGAAAGTTCCCCCAGCTCAAACTGGTGTGTGCAGTCCGTCCGCCGTGTTTCTGCCAGCACATGGGTGACCGGGTGTCTTCCCCTGGTGCCTTGCCCCTGCATCTCTTCCGGCTCATCTCACCCTTTCATTTTTCTACAGGCAAGTTCACCCTTCCCTCTGACCTAACAATCACAACAGAGTAAACCCAAANAACCCAACTCTATAATGTTGGTTTGCAGTATTTAAAATTAAACCTACTTCGCATTTTCTATGTTTCACAATGAAAGGATCTACCCTAGGTCTAAGTGGGTCAGAACAGAATCAGATTCTTAGCATCAGATCAGACACTAAAAGCAGAAGTTGCCATATTCCTACAAAACTTCTGCTTGGGCAACTTCAGTGACAAGGCACACGCTTCCTGCCACAGCCCCTACGATTTCCCGGCAGGTTTAATCCATCCTTATGTGATGCTCCTCCCCACTCAATAATGAAATTTTACCACTATTTTCTCTGAAAGCAATTTGAGGGCTTCCCGTTTCCCCTGTGAGGTTTTATCTTCCTAGACTTGGTCTGTCATCCCAGTGTGCGCAGGGAACGGGGTGTTAGCATCACCGCCGGCTGTGTGCGCTGTCTCCGCTCCCCGCCTCGCCCGTCCACCGACACCGTGAACCCCATCCTAAGACAGAAAGCTGTGGGTCGCCGGAAATCCAGAGACAATCACCACACAGGGAGGGGTCATCAGAGGGTGTCTGTAGTACTTTTAGGATATGAAAATGCTGATCGCTAACGAGAAAAGGAAGTTGGAATGGTCTTTACCCTCACAGCTCACGCCACCACCAGTGTCACATATCACCACGCTCAAGACCTGGCAGACCCCCACGCTCCTCGCCGGTCAGAGAGCTGGCAGAAAAGCGGTCGCCTCTCTGGTAATTTCATGGACAAACACATTTCCCCGATACGCCGGCTGACGCCTAACACAGTGTCAGCACAGGCCTCTCCTCTGGGAACTGGCTCTGTTAGCACGTGACTGCTCTTTAGGGTTGCATATCAATGAACTCAGGGTGCCGGCGCGCCTTCACACCCATGGACGGCAGGTGTTCGTCCCAGCTTGGCTGTGGAGCGACACCCAGGGGATGCCTTACTCTGACAAAGAGGAGCGCGATGGCTGGATAACAGGGAAAGGAGGGAGGTGATGGCCGGCGTCCTGTCATTTTGTCTCTGCCTCTTTTCCCCTCTCCTTGCTCCGTTCCTGCACCTCATTCCCTGCCAGACTTGCTGGACCATCCCATGTGAAACAGTAGTTAATCCAACAGCCTCAACGCCCCTCCCACGTCAGTGGGGGGGTTCTGCTCACAGCCCATCACCTGTGGGCCTCTATTCATCATAGGGCCCACGGACAAAAGCCCTAAGGTTACACGATCTTTTCTGCATTCTTCACTCACTGCCATCTTTTATTTCCTTCACATGAGGTTCCTCACCTGGTGGGTGGTTACTTGTATGAGTCAACGTGACAGGTTCTCAGGGTGCTCAGACATTACACTGGGTGTGTCTGTGAAGCTGTTGTTACATGATAATAACAATTGAATTGGTCAACTGAGTAGAGCAGCTTGCTCACTAGTGTGGGTGGGCCTCATCCAATCAGTTGAGGGACCAAATAGAACAAAAGGGCTCACTCCCCTGTGAGTAAAAGGGACCTCATCCTGCCTAGCTGCCTTTGAGATGGGACATTGGGTTTTCTGCCTTGGAACTTGAACCGAAACATGGGCTCCTCCTGGGTCTCCAGCCTGCCGGCCTTTGGACTGGACCTGACCCATTGACCCTCTTTAGTCACCAACTTGCTGCCTGCAAATCATGGGACTTGTCCACTTCCATCAGCGCATGAGCATGCTCCTTATGATAAATCCCCCTCTGCCCATCCTGTTGGTTTGTTTCTCTGCAGAGCACTGACCTGTACATGTGCTAACTTCTGCCAAAGCAGCTCTGGATGGAGCCCATGCTGACGTCACTCATCAAGTGCATCTGCGCCTGTCTCCGGGAGGCCCGAGTGGCACATCACTAACTGCTACGGCTGCACACTGCTCGTGGGTTGAGCCACATCCCTCCTTGGTCCTGTGTCTTTGTGGACCACTATCTGCCATGCTTAGGATGTCCTGTGTTAGCCACACTCCTGGCCATGCGTAGCGTTGCTACCCATGCTGGGTCTACCTGGGCCTTTGTCCCTCACTCAGGTGCCTTATTTTGAGTCCACTGTCAGTTCACAAGGATAAGCAAGTATAGTTTGCAGACGGACAAAAGGAGCCTCCTGCAAACGACCCTCTGCCGCTGTTCTGCTCCACCTGCAGCTTAGATAAATCTGTGCGGCCACGATAAAGGTTTTACGTGAGGTTCGTAGCAGTTAGTACTTTGTGTGGTTGCTAATGACGGGGTACTGTGAGGGGAGGTGTTCTATTACTGGCTCAGACAAAGCATCTTCACCCCACTTCCCTCCCCTGCAATCCAATTTACAAGTTTCATCTTTACGCAATGCAGGTATTTATTTAATTCCTTCAGGAATTGAAAATACCAATTATAACTAAACAATTTCTTTTAAACATACCTGGAGCGTCACTGCAGATGCTGAGCTACAGTTTTGTTTGAAGTGTGAATGAGTCTCTCTGAGAGTGAGCGTCCCTACGTTAAACACGGTGGGCGCTGGGTGTAAAAGGGGACACACTTGCTTGAGGTCTCAGAAACGGGGTTTTCATGGGAGGGAAGTCAGAGATCTGAAATAATCCCAACATTACCCTGTGACAACAAATCCCCAACAGCTGTGCTTTCCCATATGTAGCAGGAAATGAAACTGCTACACATTGAAAGCTGAAAGGACACAAGTAAAGAAAAAAAGGGCAAATTCTCTCTTTGGTTCCAAATAAAATCAGTGGAGGTTTTTAAAACAGGCCTCGGATGTCCCTCATTCAGAAGACGGTTCGGGGCCACCTGTGTTCAATGCCCTCCTGCCCTGTGAGCATTTCTAGGGGAGGAACGAAGTGTGTCCACCAAGGTCCTGAGCCAGAAGCAAACTCAACTTATGAACAAAATGTGCGTCCCTCACGGTACTGTGAATGCGTGTTCACATGTCTTTACTGCACCTGAAGGACAGAAGCCAACCATGAGGGATACGGGAAGTTTAATCGCTATATTCAACACTGTCTTTTAAAAAAATCGCTGTTTTCCTTTGATTTAAAATCATCAAGGAGTTGAATACTTTGGACATGTAGTCTAATTTCTCTCGTAGGGCTAGTATTTACCAACGACTGTTGTGAAAGGGTTGAGAATAGAGACAAGAGGAAACGCACTGGAAAATGCTGGTGCTACTGTAAAAAGCATAAACAATACATACTGGGTTCAGGAGGACGGTGAGGAATAGCTCGCCTCCGCAGATGCTCTTATCCAGCTCTTGGGGTCCTCCGGGGTACTCTTTGTAGAAAATAGTGTGGGTGAAGAGCCCGCAGGTCTGCCGAGGGAGGACCTGAGGGCGGCAAACAGGTGACATGACTTCTCCAACCACCGCCAGCACCCAGGGCCCTGCCTGTCAGCGCGCTGCCTTGGTTGCGGAAGCTCGGGTCTCACCGCGACGCCGAGCTGATGACGGTGTGATTATGTACATATTAAGGAAGTTGTTACCTCCAAGCTGTGGGTGTGTGTTACGTGCCCCTGAGTCGGCGCCGACTCCTGGGGACCCGAGTGAATGGNCTCCGCAGATGCTCTTATCCAGCTCTTGGGGTCCTCCGGGGTACTCTTTGTAGAAAATAGTGTGGGTGAAGAGCCCGCAGGTCTGCCGAGGGAGGACCTGAGGGCGGCAAACAGGTGACATGACTTCTCCAACCACCGCCAGCACCCAGGGCCCTGCCTGTCAGCGCGCTGCCTTGGTTGCGGAAGCTCGGGTCTCACCGCGACGCCGAGCTGATGACGGTGTGATTATGTACATATTAAGGAAGTTGTTACCTCCAAGCTGTGGGTGTGTGTTACGTGCCCCTGCGTCGGCGCCGACTCCTGGGGACCCCGAGTGAATGGCGCCCACAGTGTCCTGTCCTCACAGCCCTGCTCAGCCCTGGAGGCTCAGCCTGTGGCGTCTTCCACGGAGTCCATCCGGCTCACGTCTGGTCTCCTCTTTGCCCGCTGCCTCTATGTTCCCGGCATTATTGTCTTTCCCAACGAACCTGCCTCCTTACGTGTCTGACAGCTTCAGTCTGTCATTCTGCCCAGGAAGCTTCAGACTGCATTTTCTCTGAGACCCGCGTGTCCGTCTTTCTGGCCTAGATGTGCTAAAGCATTTTCACTTGGTTCTATAAAGCTCACCCACCAGCTGAGCTTTGTTTAAGGATTGGCAAAAATACAGGCCTTCTTAGGGTTAATTTAATTCAAATGTGGAGATTCTCCAAGGTTACATTGTTTGTGACATTAGGTGTCCTCTCCTGGCCTCTGGGTGACGGTCGGACAATCAGCTCCCAGCACGGCCCCCCCTCTGCCTAGTTGTGTTTGTACCGCACTCTGAACTGAGATTTAATCACAGAAGTAGTCACATGATCTAATGATTGCTCCTGGCATGTTCTGTGGTTAATGCTGTTGTAAATCTGAATGTTCAACAGAGAAAGCAAATAAGTAATTTTATTCTGAGAATTTATTTTGAACAATAAATTACTCATAATCTAATGGAAAAATGCATCCAATTGTACCGAGTAGCTATAATTTTATTTATTCTCTGCTTAATTTTCATAATAGTTTGTATTAAATTCAAAGAAAATAAATGCATGTAATATTGGTTAAAGGAATGTTTTCATTTCATAATATGTCACAGGGTCATGCCACCCATGGTCCTTTCCTCTGATTTGAAATTATAGGAGTGACACCCTTTATACCTCCTGGAGTTCAGTGAACACCAACCCCACCCTCTGCGTGATCACTGATTCCATTAAATCTGAGTCTTCCAGCACCAACTTAGAGCACAACATTCACGTTTTATGATGAACAAATATTGAGCAGGTTTGCTTTTCCTTTGTTTTTCTTTTTAAGTATCTCTTTATTGATTTCAGAGAGAAGAAGGGAGAGAGAAACATCAATGATGAGAGAGTCATTGATCGGCTGCCTCCTGCACGCCTCCAACTGGGGATCGAGCCCACAGCCCGGGCCTGTGCCCCGACCGGGAATCGAACTGGGATCTCCTGGATCCTAGGTCAATGCTCAGCTGCTGCGCCACGCTGGCCGGGCTTCCTTTGGTTTTAGATGGTTGATGAGATGTACAGAAGGACAGGACAGGCAGCTAATTCTAACAAGAACCTGAATAATGGATTGGGACCATGTCACTCTCTATAGGGGGAGAATCATTTGTTAGCCTTGCTCTGATCTAGACGACTGATCCTGAGGACGTGGCTCAGGTGCTCCCAGAGCGATGGACACTTTAAGATGGCTATTTTATCTCAAAGGAAAGAAGACTATTTTTTTTCGTTCTAATGAATAGTTATAAATTTCCATCTAAAATTCATGTGGTTTTATTCCCATATAAAGGACTAATACGTCATTCTTGCATGAGATTATTATTTTTTCAATTATAACATCTGGAAAGAAAGTACACATATGCCTTTGCTTTTGTGTGTGTGAGGGAAAGAAAGACGAAAACGAGATGCCCTGAGGTGGTCCTCAGTGTCCGGAGCCACGCAAGCTGGGTGGAGAGGCGCAGCCCTCGGGTGCTGCGTGGGAGGTGCTGTCTGCTGATCCTGCGGTGACGTGTGGGTGTTTCCTGACTTATGAACTCACACTTTGCCTGGGACACTCAATACAACCGCCCACCAAACAGACAGCAAGACATTCCCTGAAGTGTAAGGGCCTCGGGCAAAACCAATCCTGAAACTACGGGGAATCGTCCATGTGAAACCCATTTCCAGTATTTTGAGCTTGTCTGACGTTGCCAGGACCACCTCCCAGCTGAGGGAGCAAGCGTGCAGACCGTGCAGTCACGGGTGGCCCGTCACCACTGCCCGTGGCAGGGGTTTGGGACGCTCGTTTGAAGGAGGTGCGCAGTGGCACGCGCGTCCCCACCCGCCACGTGGCACACTCACCATGATGCCGTCGTGGATGAAGCCCTTGCGGTGCCGGGCGGGCTTCAGGTGCGGGTACTCCTCGGTGCTGGTCACCTGGATGCCCCAGACCTTCTTCCAGGCTGTGTAAAGCTGCATGTGCACCGGGTAGACGCCCGAGTGGTGCGGGGCCACCGCGTAGCCCATGTCGATGGGTATCCCGTGCTCCTGAAAGAAAGTCAGATGTCACCCCAGTTTGGTCGATGGAACTCGGTTACAATGTGGCCACAGCCTCTGCTTAGGACCCAGGGAACCCTTTGCCACATGAGAAATAGGAAAACAAAGAGTTTTATCTTTCAGCAGCTTGTAATCTTATAAAGCTCTGATGGTGTGGCAGACGCAGCAAGTACTTTGGCCATACGGTGTGTGGGTGAGAGCAATTCTGAATGTTGAACACAGAAAGTTTGGGGGAAGACAGGAATAAAACATGACCCTTCCTCATGCAGACATAGGAAAGAAGTGTGAGGAGTGCCCAACTATGAGAGATGCAAGAACACGGTGTGCGCATGAGCGTGATGGTGTATNGAAGTGTGAGGAGTGCCCAACTATGAGAGATGCAAGAACACGGTGTGCGCGTGAGCGTGATGGTGTATGTGGCTGTATGTGTGAATGGGTGTGAATATGTGTGGTGAGTGAGTGTGCGTGTGTGTATATGTGTGGTGTGTGCTGTGTCTACGAGAGTGTGAGTGTGTGTGTGCATGTGTGGTGTGTGCAGTGTCTATGAGAGCGTGTGCGTGTGTGTATATGTGTGGTGTGTGCAGTGTCTACGAGAGTGTGAGTGTGTGTGTGCATGTGTGGTGTGTGCAGTGTCTATGAGAGCGTGTGTGTGTGTGTGTACATGTGTGGTGTGTGCAGTGTCTATGAGAGCGTGTGTGTGTGTGTGTATATGTGTGGTGTGTGCAGTGTCTATGAGAGCGTGAGTGTGTGTGTGTACGTGTGTGGTATGTGCAGGGTCTATGAGAGTGTGAGTGTGTGTGTGTACATGTGTAGTGTGTGCAGTGTCTATGAGAGTGTGAGTGTGTGTGTGCATGTGTGGTGTGTGCAGGGTCTATGAGAGTGTGAGTGTGTGTGTGCATGTGTGGTGTGTGCAGGGTCTATGAGAGTGTGAGTGTGTGTGTGCATGTGTGGTGTGTGCAGTGTCTATGAGAGCGTGTGTGTGTGTGTGCATGTGTGGTGTGTGCAGTGTCTATGAGAGCGTGTGTGTGTGTGTGTGTACATGTGTGGTGTGTGCAGTGTCTATGAGAGCGTGTGTGTGTGTGTGTATATGTGTGGTGTGTGCAGTGTCTATGAGAGCGTGAGTGTGTGTGTGTACGTGTGTGGTATGTGCAGGGTCTATGAGAGTGTGAGTGTGTGTGTGTACATGTGTAGTGTGTGCAGTGTCTATGAGAGTGTGAGTGTGTGTGTGCATGTGTGGTGTGTGCAGGGTCTATGAGAGTGTGAGTGTGTGTGTGCATGTGTGGTGTGTGCAGTGTCTATGAGAGTGTGTGTGTGAGGTGAGTGCCTGTGATGCTGACAAGCAGAAAGGTGACTATAACCCACGCAGAGACGAGCCTTCGCTGTTTGCCTGGGTGGCCCAGGCTGACCCTGTCTGAGTGGAGTAGACAGGGTGCTCCGTGAGCCGCAGGCCGTGTCTGCTGCACGCTTCGGGGGGGGGACCTAGTGCCAGCTGTTGGGACGCAGCGGAAGCGGGAGGCGGTGCGTCTGGAAGCCGCTGCAGGGGGCAGGTGGGAGGCCTGGGCACCTGCAATGGCTCCCGCGCTGGACTCACACCCAGGGCCAGGCCGCGCACGATGCAGTGATGTTTAGACACACCGAACAAGGGAAAAGGGAAGGCAGGCTCTCCCCCCTTGGTTTGGATGCTCACAGCTCACTCCGCTTTTAGGAAGCACACACTTTACATGAGATGCTTGCTTTAGGTAAACAGTACACTCTGAAGGTAACAGGTGTAAGTTGAAAACAAGAATATGAAAAAAATTGTCAAAGAATGGTATTATATTGTGAGGTTCATGCATTAGATCTGCAGTTTTCTAATTTTGTGTCTTTATATTTCTCCTTTAAGTGCTTCTCTGTTTTATAAAGACATCTTGTAGGATTGAATCTCACCCACTGAGGCTATAAATAACAACACACAGTAATATATGAGCTGAAGGAATCGATAAATAGCCCATCATAGACTTGACAATTGCATTCACATTGTCTAGTACGCGGCGCAGTCTGGCCTGATGAGCAGGCGGTGAACGGGTCCCACGGCCACAGTGCCCGAGTCTCACCCACATGCAGCCCTGGGGATGTGTCTGGAGCCCCTGCCACATCCCCACCTTTCCATCCACGAAAGGGCCCTCACTGCACAGCTCAACCTGCCTCCAGGACTCTGCATTTTCTAACATCTGTTACAAGGACTCTGGAGAAAGACTGGGTTATGAAATCAATGCTACGAAATGAGCTGAGCCTCTCCAGGCACCGTGGAAAATTCCGTTCCTGGCATGAGCCAAAGAATCACATTTCCTTGGGAGCCGTTTTTAGGACCAGGTGGAGAAGTCCAGCAACAAAGCCACTGGGAGCGAGCAGGGGCGGCCACTCCCATCCCTGACATGTCCCTGAGGCCTGGTGCCCAGGGAACTGTCACAGGGGATGTGTGCCATCGGCAGCCAACGTGGGATGCCCTGGGTGTGAGGCAGACAAATGAACTTCCTAAAGAGGGAAACCTGGGGGCTCAGGTGCCTGAGCCCGCTGTCTGGGGGTGAAATCGAGCGTCGGCTGCTCAGAGATTTCTATTTGTAGGAAAGGGAAAAGCAGTGTGTTCCACTCTTAGGACCTCTCAGGCGGTTCACACTGAGGTGTGGACCAGCCGGGTACCGTTACAGAAAATAACAGCGGCTGCAGGCGTGAGCCTGACCGTCTTCACTGATCGCCCTGCCCGACCTTGTTTCTATCACTGTGGGGATCTAGCCCACATCTGGGCCTAAGACACTCGGTAGGCTGGTGACATCCTAGACACAGAGATGAAAGTGAAAATCAGGGAGAGAATTGAAATATCAAACATCTGTGTCTCCTAAGGGAAAAAAAGGCATTTCACCCGTGACAGGTAGTAAAATGAATTGTAGGACTTTCATGAAAAACCAGAAGGTAAAAAGCAATTGACTTGGTGGGAGGAAGGCAGGGGCAGTGAAAGGGCTTTATTATATTTATTGATTTCTGGGGCTCAACGCTCTACTGCTCGTAGGTCATCTTATCCCTCTGACAACTGGGGCTCAGTCAAAATAGTAAATCACGCCAGGTAATTATGAGTTTATACTTTCTCCATCTAAACGATAGCACAAAATGAAAAGTAATTCCCTAGTAAGTCCTTTGCTGCTAGGGAGGGGCTGCTGGGCAGAGACCTTCATTCTTTACTGTCCAGAGCTTAAGACGCCTTCGCACAGACAGCAACTGAAACGTGAACTGAGCGTCGCACGCACACGGGGTCCTGACAGCCCCCAGACGGGAAAGGCTTTCTAATGCAAAGATGGGGGCGTCTGGAAATATGCATACAGAGCTGTAAATGACAGAATAAACGAATTCTGACATGGCTTTTGGTATTTGTTAAAACAATGCCTCTCATAGGACCTAGAACATTCTAGATAAGCTGATGTGGTGCCACAAATGTTTATAGGGAGCTTAACTGGATGTCGTTTTCCCTATCACATTAAATTCCCAGTCGACTGGAAATGAGGTAATGTGGTAATTTACAGACTATAAAAATGGCACCATTCTTCAAAAACTAGAATGAAACATAATTAGCACTCAATCTCTAATTGTAACCGGCGTGATCGCATGTGGTTTTTCTTTGACCATATCTTCTGATAATTGCTTAGTGCCGATCCTGGGGAAGTTTTCACATTCACGTTGAGCGTGGTCCCTGTGATCACCTGCAGGGTGGCCTAGATGTCACCGTCAGTGTGGAAACTGTGGCCCACAGGTGTCAGAGCCAGACAGCTCACAGGTGTTTACCCAAGTCTCCTGCGGGCTCACAGACTGAGCTTCAGCTTCTGCAACAACTCACTGCTGCTGTGACCAGGTTCATGACCAAGTTGATGGCCAAAGGGAGTGGACTTCAATATGCATTCTGATGAAAAGTAGAGGGCACGCCTGTCCTTTCTGTTTCACTTGGAGAGGTTACAAAGCAAAATTCTCCATTTCTCAGGCTGCTCTGCAGCTCTCATTTTCGGTGCAAACACAGGTCAGCCAATGAGAAGGCTGTGGAACCAACTTCAGAGGGAGGAGACGGGCAGAGGCTGACGTCGGGCAGCTCCTGCCTTCTGTTGCTGGCAGACGAAGTCTGGAGAACAAAAGGCTTTTTGGAAGCCGCCTCGGTGCCTTTTGCAGGGTGAGGTAGAAATTTCCTGCTCCTGCCTGTCACCCCCGGGGACCACCTCCATCTGCTCTGCATCCCCAGAGGAGCACAGCTGAGGATCCCTCCACCAGCCCTCCCAAGGCCATGGACACACTTAGGTCACCAAACACTCTTCCTGTGGGAAATGACTCCCGCTGGCTTCTGTCTTGAGTTTAGAAACCTGACTGATACAGCCGGTCTTTGCCCCTTTTTAATAAGCATGAAAGGCTTGAGGGGTTCGGGTGAGATGCCAGTGGCTTGAGGAGACTGCTGAGCACCGCCCAGCATTTCCCCGGGAACACTCACGGCAACACCCACTGGTCTCGTGGGTCCTGGCGTGTTCCATGCGTGACTGTTAAACCTCATGTACTGATCACCCCATGCTCAGTGTACAGAGAAAATAAATGAGAGACAGTCTCTTTAAATAATAAATACCACACGTATTTGAGCAAGATCACCCCGTGGTGGAGCCACATAGTGTAGGCAAGAGGAGGAAGGGGGTGGATTCTATGGAAGGAGCACGGCTCCGATGCGTGCTGACTGCCAGGCTCCGTGACAGCTGGCACTTCCACACCCTGTCCTGAGGGTGACCACATCCCCACAAATGGGCAGAGACCTGGAGACATCGCCTCCTGAGCTAGGAGAACCACAGGTGGCATGAACAGTGCCTGGGTGCTGCATCTGTGTCAGGCAGTGATGGGTACTCTTTAGAAGACCTGGTGCCCTAGGGGCCCTGAGAAAACAGGAGGTGGGAATGGGGAGGACTGGGCTCATGGGCACGCAGGAGGCACCGCTG